AGCAGCACCTGCAAAGGCCCGTGGAGAACCCGGATTCGCTGCAAGGGAAGAGCTGGGATTGAGTCCCTGGGCCTCACCGCAAGCCCTGCTCACAGTGTGGGCAGACTTCTCCCCTCAATGGTGCTGAATGCCCAATGCCTCCAGCGTGCCACCAAACCCTGCAACTCTTCCACAGCCTCTCCATGTCACTCGAGAGACCTTTGGTGTATCGGTGACTTGAGTAGGGGGCAAAGCAAGCCAGGCTCTGCAACCTCCCATTTCATCCTCTGCATCTTGGCAGCTGGGAAGCAGGGTTGGGGCACCACAGAACCCACTGGAAAACTGTGGCAGAGGAAATGTGAGCTCACCTGCATGAACGTGAATTTCTCCAGCCGCTCCATGATGATGGGCAAAATAACTAGGTACAGAGAGAAAAGGTCAGGCTCTTCCTGCAAGCCAGCCTGCAGGGCTCTCCCAGCAGCACTGTCCACCTGGAGGCCATGGCAGCAGCTAGTTGTGCTGAGGGCCACTGGTTGTTTGCTTACAGCAAGGATCTTAACCCACACACATCCATCACCCAGGCAGCATGGTCCGTGCTCCTCATGCTCCCAATCCCTCCTGCTGGGCCTGTGGCATGTCAAGGGTTTCATGAGGTGAGGGGATGCTGGGCTGCAGAGCGAGAAGCTAGGGCCAGAGAGCATGAGATGTGTCCTTGTGGGGCCAAACTGCCATGAGAGCACCCCATGTCCCCCACAGGCTGTGGGTTGGGATGAGGAAGCCTGGGGGCTTGGGGGACTCCGATTGGAATGGCAGGATAAGATCAGCTCCATTTGTGGGATGAGACCAAATGACACCTGGGATGCAGTGCCACCCTCCCTCTTCTTCATGGGGGAAACTGAAGCAGGGAAGGGCAAAGTAGTGGGTCCCAGGGGAGTCCGTGGTCCAGTCCTGCACCCTCCTGCCTTATACTCACTCATGCCCGGTGCTGCCATGGTGATCCTGGAGACCACAACCTGTGTGATGCCCTTCACTGCTGCCCTCTGCAAGCAAAAGCAGCAGGTGAGCCCCTGCAGCGCTGTGTCCCAGCCCAGACCTCCATCCCCAGACTCACTCTGGAGCGACCAAGCTCGTTGTTGTCCCCATCTGTCACTGTGATCCCATTGATGATCTCCCTGAAGGGGACAGGCAGCCATGAGTGGAGGCCAGGATGGTCGGGAAAGCATAAGAACACAGCAGTGGGGTGAGGGAGTGCCAAGGAGGTCCTCTGTGCTGTGCTGGCACAGCAGAACCGGCTGCCCCTGGGGCACGGGGCTCCATCACCCCGGGGTGCTGTGGTCCCAGCCCAGCCGATGCTGCCATCTTCAGGGCGCAGCTGCGAGCAGGATCCAGCCGTGCCAGGGACTGACACTGCTTGGGACCCGCAGCCAAGCCAGGGGACAGTCCCTCACATAGCCCCCCACCTCCCTGCGCTGCAACTTGTGGGGGACCCCAAGCAGCAGATACAGGTCTCCACATGGGCCCCACCTAGGGTGTACCAGCATCAGGATATCATGGACTGGGGCTCTCCCATCAGCACGCACAGGAGACCTTTGGGTCTGAGGGATCTTCCGGCCCAGATCCCAGAACAGCTATCCTCAGCCCAAAATCCCCTCCTGCTCCAGGCAGAGGCTGAGCCATCCCACCCGGCACCCTCTGCCAGAGACACAGCACTGCAAAAACACAGACTCCGGTTCACCTTCCCCCCTGTCCTCCCACCCTCTTCAACCCCTGGGGTGGGAATCCAAGGCAGGGTGACCAGGTAGCCCAGGAGCCCAGCTGCCACCAGGTTGCCTTGGGAAGGAGCTGGGTTCCTGGAGCTTCCTATCTGCACCTGACACTTACTGTTGCCGCATCATGGGGATATTGATACAGTTGGCAGCAGCCACAGCTGCGAAGGGGACCCAGCGGGCCAGCAAGGGGGGTGCTCGCTGTGGGAGACAGACTGGCATCAGTGCAGGAGGGCAGGATGTGCCTAGCTGCCCCACCTGGCCCCAGCCTGGCATACCTTGGTGTAGAGGTTGAGTCCCACTGCGGTGGCCAGGGCTGCACCGGTGGCTGTGACATAAGCCACGCCGATTTGCCTGGACAGCGATTTCCAAAGACGGGAGAGAACAGAAACACCAACTCTGACTCAACCCTGTTCCTTCAGTACCCAAGACGGGGCATAGGTGATCTTTACAGGGTCTCCAGGGGAGTGTCAACACAGAGGGTCCCTATTCTGTGCGTGGGATCACTCACCTCAGTGAGATGGGGGAGGCAGCGTTACGGTTGGTGTAGTTGACAAAGGCATTGAAGGACTGGTTCACCCACTGCCAAAAAACCACAGCAGGCACTGTCCTGCAGAGGGAAGGGACCAGGAGAGCACATGAGGGCTGTCATGGATGCCTGGCCTGTGCCTGTGGCCAGGCTTGGCAGTGAGCCAGCCAAGATGCCCTCAATATACTTGTCATGGTGACTCCAAAAGGAAACTGAGGAACCCTGGCAAAGCTATGAGCCAGTGGCAGAGCTGGGGAATGACCCAGGAATCCTGGCTGCCCTAGGGCTTTGGGGATCACAGGAGGGGGTCCAGCCCTGCAGGGCACTTAGGCAGGAGTGGGAGATGCAGCTCTCAGCAGGGCGGCAGCCATCCTGCTGGGCTGAGATAAGCCTTTGTCAAAGGGAGCAGCAAGGAGGGAACACATGGGGACAGAATAGGCTCTGGGGGACCAGGGTGCCTGGGCTCCTACTGGTGTCTCAGGAACATGGAAGTGGGGCAGGAAGGGACACAGGGAGATGTGGGTCTGAGCAGGCTTTGGGATGCAGGAAGGTGGAGATGGGCTGAGAACAGGGTGACCCATCGGCACTGGGAGATCTGCCATCCAGACTGGACCTCATCGGCAACTGTCAAAGCAGTCTAGCAAAGAGGGGTCAGATTGGATGGGGATCCAATGGGAAAGGAAGTGTATGATCTACATAGTCTGGAGACAGGATTGCTCACCCCCCCCAGCAGCTATTTCAGCAGGTAAATGCAGGGAGCTGTCAGCAGAGGCTGGGGATGCTGAAGCAACCTGGCCTGGGGGCAGATTTGGTTGTCAGTTCTGAGGACTGCTATGGTCCGCAGACCAAGAGCAGCAGCCAAGTAGGACTTGGTTGCATTAATCACTACAGGAGCTCTGGGAAGTGCTGAGCTGAGCTCAGTGTGAAGTGAGACCATCCTCAGCGATGCCAGAGGCCGAGGGGATCTGTGATGCTTCCACCACAGGCTGGGTGCTGGGGACAGGGCACAGGGACATGCATGGGGCTTGGCCATGGGACACAGGCAAGCACAGCAGCCATGGGCATGCCTTGGGCAGTACCCAGCCCCAGAGGAGGCAGACTGGCCACACTCCAGCCATCAGAGGACCTCTTGAAGGGCTGGGGGCTGTCACAGCTGTGTCCCCAGCCTGGCAAACCCATGAGCTCACCGATAGAACTGGAGCATGAAGCCGGTGATGGCCATGCCCCCTGGCACCTGGAAGGACATCCTCCCGATGAGGTTCATCTTCTCACCGCTGTCAGGGTGGAAGGCTGAGTCGTACAGCTTCTTGGCATAGAGCAGCTGCTCCTGGCTGCTTCCTGGTGGCACCAGCCCGGCCCTGCAAGCCCAAAGCCTGTCGGGGAAGCTGCACAGACCTGCCAGCACCTGGCACTGCCGGAGCACAGAGCCCCAGGCATCATACATGAAAGGCAGAGGAAACATCTCTCATGAGAGATACATGTTACAGCTTAGGGCTCCTGGGAAAAGCCTGGGAAACTCTCCCAAAACTGCCTCCAGGGGATGTTAAGTCACAGTGTACCTGCTTGCAAATGACTGCCTCCATCCGCCTGCAACACTGCAGAATGGTCAGGTATGGCAACGGGCACAGGGACGGCACCTGCCCTGGCTGTACCTCTGCCCCTCACCTGCAGCCTTCCACCAGGGCCTTGGCCCGGTCCAGCTCCTCCTCCGGCACCAGCACTGTCCGCGGGTCGGTGATGTTGAGGAAATGCTTCAGGCGCCCCACAAAGGTGCTCTGGTCCCAGCGCGGGGCGTCAATGTTGAAGCCAAGGGGAACAGTGGACATTTTGCTCTGGGTCTGTCCAGGGGAAGAAGGTGGCTCAGTCGGATCCTGCCTCGCTTGCTCATTGAGTGCAGGCCTGCCACGGCCACGGGAGCGGTCAGCTGGGTGAGAGCCAGGGCAGGTTTATGTTTAACGGGATAGTTGGACTTTCAGCAGCCCTGAGCCTGGGAGCCTCCTGCACCCCTGTTGCCAGCAGAACACTGCAGCGAGGCTGCTCCTCCATACACCATCCCACTTGCATGGGGTCCCCCCACTTGTGCTGCCCCTCAAAGCACCCAGAACCCCCTCCTTGGGGTGGGATATGCTGCACAGCACTGCAGGGCCCAGCTCGCCCCTTCCAGGGCTGCACAGCCCTGCCCTGTGAGCACTCTGTTTGGGAGAAGAGGCCGACTGTCACCTGGCTATTACCTCCTTTCGGATAGTTGTACAGAGCGATAAGATCTCCCCTAAGCCTCCTTTTCTCCAGGCTAAACAACTCCAGCTCCCTCAGCCACTCCTCATACAACTTGAGCTCCAAACCTTTCACCAGCTTCGTTGCCCTTCTCTGAAAGGCCCGGCCCGGCCCGGCACAGCACAGCACGGCTCGGCTCGGCACAATCCCAGCTCGCCACGGCCCGGCCCGGTTCAGCTCGGCTCTGCACGGCCCCGGACACCACACCCACCGCCCAGCCCTGCCCTGCCCTGCCCTGCCCTGCCCTGCCCCTGCCCCTGCCCCGCCCCTCCTCTCCCGTCCCGTCCCGTCCCGTCCCCACGTGTCCCACCTGCGCTCCCCGGGCCCCTCTCCCGCCCACGTGTCCCGCCCCCGTCCCCGCGCTGCGGCGCGTGGCCGCCCTCAGCCAATCACAGAGCCCAGAGAGGCCGCGCCCACCTCCCCTCGGGGGCCGCCCTCGTACGCATGCGCTCGTTGGAGGGCCGGGCCTGAATGTGGCCCCGCCCCCCGGCGCGCGCACGTCGTCGCGCGGGGCGGGTGTGACGCAGTTGCCCATGGTAACCCCGGGCCGCGCCGAGGATGGTGAGCGGGGCGGGGGCAGCGCCGGGACGGGCCCGGCCCGGGGGGGGCGCGGGGGGCCTGAGGGGCCGGGGGCGCCGCCACCGCCGCCACTGCCGCGGAGCGTGGGGTAATGAGAGCCGGAGGCACCACCCGGGGTCTGTCGGGCCCGGCTGGGGCCCAGGGCAGGCACTGGCGGGCCTGGGGCCATGAAGGGGTGTGCCGAGAGGACGGGACCAGGAGTATGGACCAGGAGTATTGCTCGGTGATGCCGGGCAATAGGGCACAGGGCAACGCGCACAAGCTGATGCAGAGGAAGTTCCACTTGAACTTCTTTACTGCGCGGGTGACCACGCACTGGAACAGATTGCCCAAAGAAACCGTGAAGTTTCTCTCACTGGAGAAATTCCAGAACCGTCTGTATGCAATCCTGTGCCATGTGCTCTAGGGTGTCCCTGCTTGATTAGGGAGGTCGGACCAGATGACTCGCTGTGGTCCCTTCCAACCTGTCCTGTTCTGTGATGCTGTGACACCCACCCGGGAGTCTGGCAGTCCTGGGATCTGAGTGCCCACCTGGGCAGAGTGTGGGGTGCCAGGGACCTGGTGGGGCAGGGGTGTCTTGTCGGGAGTGGGGGGCCCTGGGCTGTGGAGGTTGGGGACACCCAGGCAAAGGGATGGGAACAGTGTAAATTTGTGGCCTCCAGCCGTGGGAAACCCTGGCTGGGGCCCTGGCAGGACACAGAGATTACAGGGAACATGGAGAAGGGAGTTGAGTCCAGACAAGGGCAACAAAGCTGGTGAAGGGTTTGAGCACAAGTCCTATGAGGAGCAGCTGAGGGAGCTGAGATTGTTTAGCCTGGAGAAAAGGAGGCTTGGGGGGGGACCTTGGTGCTCTCTACAACTACCTAAAAGGGGTATGTAGCCAGGTGGCAGTCATCCTCTTCTTCCAGGCAACTGGTGATAGGATGAGAGGACGTAGTCTTAAGTTGTGCCAGCAGAGGATTAGATTGGACATTAGGAGAAAGTTCTTCACAGAAGTGATTAGATGTTGGAATGGGCTGCCCAGGGAGGTGTTCAACAAAAGACTGTACATGTCATTTAGTCCCACAGTCTAGTTGATGTGGTGGTGTTGGGTCGTGGGTTGGACTCAGTGATCTCAGAGGTGTTTTCCAGCCTAATTGATTCTGTGAGTTGGATCTTGACAGGGGCTGGGAGACCTGAGGATGCTGTAGGGGGATGGGATCAGCCTGCTTGGAGTTGATTCAGTCAAGATCTGGAAGGTGTAATGGAGGGTTGGGTGCTTGGGAGGGCTGGGGAGCAGGATGGCAGTGGCCCATCTGATCTGAGGAGGGAAGGAGCAGTGGAAGAGCCTGGCGAGGATGGAGGGCAGTGTTCAGGGAATGACTATGAAGAGTCTAGGACCATCTGTGGCTGTAAAGGGACACTGGACAGCCCAACCAAGGTGGGAGGAGGCCACCCTGTGACCTGAATCCTGGCTGTAGGAGTTCATGAGGGTGAACTTGATGAGGTGCAAGGGCTGGTTGTTGGTAAACAGCCTTAGAACGGGAGTTCAGTCATGGCAGAGAGGCCTGGATGAAGGGATTGCATATTCAGGGATGGGCAGACTGAGACAAACTGCTCAGAGGCTGAAAGAAAACTGCCAGTTGGGTGGGATGGACAGTCTGGTGAGTCACTGGGAAAACCCAGTCAGTGTTGGCTGGCTAGGATAGTTTGCTGGGATCTTCTGTGCTCTGGGGCTGGGGAGATGAGGGACAATCTGGGTTGAAAAGAAAAAATAAGAATACACTGGGGGAAGGGATGGGAGTGAAGTTTTGATGCTGATGGGAGAAAGAGAGATCCCAGGAAGAAAAAAGTGTTGGAAGAGAGAAATTAATTGTTTGAGAGGTAGCAATATGGATTGAAGAAAGAAATTGGAGTCTTGGGTGGAGGGCAATGCTGGGATACAGGTAAGGTGGTGAGAGTACACTGCAGTCTGAATTGAGGTTGTGGGAAGGTTGGATGATGGACCAGGGTGTTGGAAACATCTTGGGTTTAGATGCCAGAGTAGTTGGGGTGGGATGCTAGCAAAGTCCAGTGAGGACTGGACTGGGTCTGTGGGTGAAGGGTGGTGAGAGAGAGATGCTGTGGGTGGGGAGCAGCTGCTGAGGATGCAGCATGAGCAGAGAGCACAGGCAGAAGGAAATAGCAGTGGGAAAGGAGCTTTCCCAAGGGCACGGCTTTATTTTGTCCAGGAGCCCTCTGGACTCAAGCTGGATTCATGCAAATGGACAGCATGGGAGGAGGTATAAGCAAGAGCAGCAAAGGCAGCTTCTCATCTTCACTGGGTTAATTCTGGCTACATCCCCACCTGCTGGGCTACAGAGAGGGAGATTGAGATAAAGCCTGTGGGATCTGCTCTATTTCAGATGAGTTGGTGATGGAGCATGTCACACCAGACACCAAAGCCATCACAGGATGGACATCTGCTGTAAAGATGAGGGCAGCTGCTTCCAGCAGTGCAGTGCTTTGTAGGACACATTTGGCCTGCAGCTGTCAAATCTGCTCTTCTGCCTTATGATGTCCCGATAAGCTGGTATAGTCTGGGATCTGGCTGCTCTTATCCAGGCGCTTTGTGTGTGGAGAGGGCGGACTGGGTGTTCTCCAGCGTTCGTGTTATTTGATATAACATTTTACTGCCTCTTTGTCTGTTTTTCATTTCCGGGAGTTGTTTTTTGAATTGTAGCCTCTCAGGCAGGGTGGGTGGCACTTTGAGGTGCCTGGTGGACTGACTGGACTGGCAGGAGACTGCACTGTCTCTCTAGATTCTCAACTTCCGCTAAAACAGAATTATCCTTCGTGGTAGAAATTCTGAAACAGCAGCAAACGTATTCAAAGCAGCTGTGGCAGCCCCGGGGTGTGGGTCAGCAGTCAGAAATGATCCAAACAGCTTGATGTAACAATTTACTGCTTGTCATCTGAGCTGTGGTAGCTGTCCGTGGACGTGTTCTGCCGTGTCGTGATTGCGTTGGGAGGCACTTAAACCCCCTTCAACAACTGCTGGCTCCAGTAATGAGAGGGTTAATGCTGAGGTTTGAATTATTTCAGTGTTCATCCAAGTGAGTAGGTACAGAGGGGAAGTGTCTCCTTCTGCAGAGCATACCAGCATTTCTCACAGCTGTGGGGCAGGGGTGGTAGAAGGTCATAGGTAGAGCACGGAGGGAAGGATGAGCATAAAACTGCATAGCATGAGAGACAATGTAGCGCTGTAGTCTTTGGCACAGTTAAGCAGCATCTGTGGTGGGCACACAGCAAGGGCAAAGGGAGGCTGCTACATGGAAGGTCATGCTGCTTTCCAAAGTTTAGGAAATGCTGTGTGAAGCAGAGCTTGTGGCCTCCTCATCACTGTAATAACAATCTTTACCAGGAGAGATGGTATGTTATTGATAGATACTGGGGCCAGAGGATGGCCGGTGTTTTTCTAAAACCATTGACTGAGGATGACATCATTATGTCAAAACCAGAATTGTCAAAGTGTGGCCCCGTTTTACAGTTGAGGAAACTGAGTGATGGAGTGTCTAGCTGATACTAGGCAGATCTGGTAGAGAGGATGAAATACCAGCATAGCTAAATGTGTAGTCAGGCATTTTTCTACTGGTCTTGAGCTCATGTTTCTAGGAAAACTAGCATTTATCTCTTGCCTACTGTAGATGTACCTCGTACCTAGAAATTCTTTTTTTTGTCCCTTGTTCCTTAGCAGTAAGGCTCTATTTAAAAGGGCCCCATTAGAAAAAAAAAATTGCTTTCAAGGGTTTTAATAGTGCCTTACTACTTTAGTTTCCCAGTACAGTTCCATGTCATGTTTTTTGGTTTATTTTACTGATTGCTGAGAGGTTGATAGGAGAAACCACCTGCAGATAGGAGAGTGTATCAGCCACTGACCAAGACTTTGAAGTTCTAAAAGCAGACAAAGACTGCTGACATAGTCCAGTGCTGGGCATTGGCTTTTCTCTGTGCAGGGCAAAATGCTTCCTTCAAACTTGCTAAAACCAAAGGAGATTGATTTTAATTATGAAAAGAGGATTCGTGCTGGTATTGGGTAATGTATCAAACTGGAAAGTGCTCTGTGACCTCTTTGACAGAAAACTATGTTAGTAGGTTTGAGCTGAAAAAACTCTGTAGGTGACTCGACTCCATTAAATTTTGGATTTCAATTCAGGAAAGAAAGTCTGCATTGAATGACACCATATGGTGGAGACATACAGCAAGCAAATGATTTTTTGGGAGTTTTGCCAGAGTAAGAAGTATTGAATAAACTGTGCTCAATAGATTAATTTACTTCGGTTGTATTTTGAAAAAGACTGGGTGATTTTATGACCATTAGTGACATTTGCAGTTCTGCAGCCGAAGATAAAGGTAATCAGACGTCATTCTTCAGGGCACCAGCTAATCAGTGCAGTTGTCAGGAAGGACTCCCCTCCTCCAGCTCTGTGTGTGCAGGATTGCACCCTGGATGACAAATGTAGCCTCAAATATCCACTGCGGAAGGCAGAATATTTGGCTCAACTAAGCCCCTCGTCCTTCCCCATGTCAGCTTCTCCTGTTTGACTTTCTGAAACCATCACGTGCACCCTCTGTCTTTACCTTACTCTGTAAAAATGGTGAACTGCCACCATATTGCTTAATTAAAAATAAATTGGGGTCCAGACTGTGCTAGGTACTGTGCAGGCAGAACATGGAGTTGTTCCCCATGCCATGGAAATACGGTCTGTCTGAGGTGAGAGATAATCAAGCGATATGAGTGAGGAGAGTCCAAGACAGGTTTGAACTTGACATGTTGGCTGCCTAAACCTCATCAAGGATTGTAGGTGTGGCAGAGAAGGAATTAGCAGAAGAATCATGGGGTGATTTTATGGATATTTTGTGAAGTTTCTCCCACGGTGGTAGGAAAGGCACAAAGGTTTGAGAATACAGCTGAGCAGTGGTGGGGGGCAGCTGTGGGGAGACAGGAGCCGCTATGGCAAATG